GGGGGAGCCTTCTTTCTGGCCTCGTCTGACCAGCGTCAGACCAGACCAACAACGCCAAAGTCCAGCGGACGGCGGCGTCAGGATGGAGCCCACGACCTCCTGCACACCGGGCGAGGTCGTTGCCATCTCCGATCCACCGCGAGGCGATCGTAGCGAACGATACCGGTCGCGAGAGCCTACGCGTCAACTCGGCGTTTTCTTCAATGCTGGGGGCCTCCGCTGGCTCCCGCTGGGTGGCCCCTGGGTGGCCCCTGGGTGGCCTCTGGGTGGCCCCTGGGTGGCCCCTGGGTGGCCCCTGGGTGGCCCCTGGGTGGCCGTTAGTGCGGGCCCAATGACGTGCTGCCCTCGGCCCTCCCAACCACCGCGACAATACACGAAGAGTGACAGCACCACCACCCCCCCCACAACCCTGCATCATCATCAATCAATCATTGTCGTAATGCCGCTGCCGCCGCTGCTGCTGCTGCTGTTGTGAAACGCAACCCAACGGTTTTGGAATGCGTGGCGGGGTCCTCCTCGCGCTACTGACGATGCCTTATCGGCGAAAGTGCCCCCCCCCGCCCACCACCGCCCCCCTTTGAAAATCAGTGAAGAAACCGCTGCGTTAAACCATCACAATGTCCACCCCCCCCCCCCAACAATCTCCCCTGACTCCCCCTCTGAAAATCAGTGAAGAAACCGCCACGTTAAACCATCACAATCTCCATCCCCCCTGACTCCCCCTCTGAAAATCAGTAAAGAAACCGCTGTGTTAAACCATCACAATGTCCCCTCCCCCCTGACTCCCCCCTCTGAAAATCAGTGAACAAACCGCTGTGTTAAACCATCACAATCTCCATCCCCCCTGACTCCCCCTCTGAAAATCAGTGAAGAAACCGCTGCGTTAAACCATCACAATCTCCATCCCCCCTGACTCCCCCTCTGAAAATCAGTGAAGAAACCACTGCGTTAAACCATCACAATCTCCATCCCCCCCCCCAACAATCTCCCCTGACTCCCCCTCTGAAAATCAGTGAACAAACCGCTGTGTTAAACAACCATCACAATGTCCCCTCCACCCTGACTCCCCCTCTGAAAATCAGTGAAGAAACCGCTGCGTTAAACCATCACAATCTCCATCCCCCCTGACTCCCCCCTCTGAAAATCAGTGAAGAAACCACTGTGTTAAACCATCACAATGTCCCCTCCACCCTGACTCCCCCTCTGAAAATCAGTGAACAAACCGCTGTGTTAAACCATCACAATGTCCCCTCCACCCTGACTCCCCCTCTGAAAATCAGTGAACAAACCGCTGTGTTAAACCATCACAATCTCCATCCCCCCTGACTCCCCTCTGAAAATCAGTGAACAAACCGCTGTGTTAAACCATCACAATGTCCCCTTCCCCCTGACTCCACCTCTGAAAATCAGTGAAGAAACCGCTGCGTTAAACCATCACAATCTCCATCCCCCCCCCAACAATCTCCCCTGACTCCCCCTCTGAAAATCAGTGAACAAACCGCTGTGTTAAACAAACCATCACAATGTCCCCTCCACCCTGACTCCCCCTCTGAAAATCAGTGAACAAACCGCTGCGTTAAACCATCACAATGTCCCCTCTCCCCTGACTCCCCCTCTGAAAATCAGTGAACAAACCGCTGCGTTAAACCATCACAATGTCCCCTCTCCCCCGACTCCCCCTCTGAAAATCAGTGAACAAACCGCTGCGTTAAACCATCACAATCTCCATCCCCCCTGACTCCACCTCTGAAAATCAGTGAACAAACCGCTGTGTTAAACCATCACAATCTCCATCCCCCCTGACTCCCCCTCTGAAAATCAGTGAACAAACCGCTGTGTTAAACCATCACAATGTCCCCTCCACCCTGACTCCCCCCTCTGAAAATCAGTGAACAAACCGCTGTGTTAAACCATCACAATGTCCCTTCCCCCTGACTCCCCCCTCTGAAAATCAGTGAACAAAACCGCTGTGTTAAACCATCACAATGTCCCCTCCCCCCTGACTTCCCCCTCTGATAATCAGTGAAGAAACCGCTGCGTTAAACAATCACAATGTCCCCTCCCCCCTGACTCCCCCTCTGAAAATCCGTGAAGAAACAGCTGTGTTAAACCATCACAATGTCCTCTCCCCCCTGACTCCCCCTCTGAAAATCCGTGAAGAAACCGCTGCGTTAAACAATCACAATGTCCACCCCCCCCCCCAACAATCTCCCTGACTCCCCCTCTGAAAATCCGTGAAGAAACCGCTGTGTTAAACCATCACAATGTCCCCTCCACCCTGACTCCCCCTCTGAAAATCAGTGAACAAACCGCTGTGTTAAACTATCACAATGTCCCCTCCACCCTGACTCCCCCTCTGAAAATCAGTGAACAAACCGCTGTGTTAAACCATCACAATCTCCATCCCCCCTGACTCCCCCTCTGAAAATCAGTGAACAAACCGCTGTGTTAAACCATCACAATGTCCCCTTCCCCCTGACTCCACCTCTGAAAATCAGTGAAGAAACCGCTGCGTTAAACCATCACAATCTCCATCCCCCCCCCCAACAATCTCCCCTGACTCCCCCTCTGAAAATCAGTGAACAAACCGCTGTGTTAAACAAACCATCACAATGTCCCCTCCACCCTGACTCCCCCTCTGAAATCAGTGAACAAAACCGCTGCGTTAAACCATCACAATGTCCCCTCTCCCCTGACTCCCCCTCTGAAAATCAGTGAACAAACCGCTGCGTTAAACCATCACAATGTCCCCTCTCCCCCGACTCCCCCTCTGAAAATCAGTGAACAAACCGCTGCGTTAAACCATCACAATCTCCATCCCCCCTGACTCCACCTCTGAAAATCAGTGAACAAACCGCTGTGTTAAACCATCACAATCTCCATCCCCCCTGACTCCCCCTCTGAAAATCAGTGAACAAACCGCTGTGTTAAACCATCACAATGTCCCCTCCACCCTGACTCCCCCTCTGAAAATCAGTGAACAAACCGCTGTGTTAAACCATCACAATGTCCCTTCCCCCCTGACTCCCCCCTCTGAAAATCAGTGAACAAACCGCTGTGTTAAACCATCACAATGTCCCCTCCCCCCTGACTTCCCCCTCTGATAATCAGTGAAGAAACCGCTGCGTTAAACAATCACAATGTCCCCTCCCCCCTGACTCCCCCTCTGAAAATCCGTGAAGAAACAGCTGTGTTAAACCATCACAATGTCCTCTCCCCCCTGACTCCCCCTCTGAAATCCGTGAAGAAACCGCTGCGTTAAACAATCACAATGTCCACCCCCCCCCCCCCCCCCAACAATCTCCCCTGACTCCCCTCTGAAAATCCGTGAAGAAACCGCTGTGTTAAACCATCACAATGTCCCCTCCACCCTGACTCCCCCTCTGAAAATCAGTGAACAAACCGCTGTGTTAAACCATCACAATGTCCCCCTCCACCCTGACTCCCCCTCTGAAAATCAGTGAAGAAACCGCTGCGTTAAACCATCACAATCTCCATCCCCCCTGACTCCCCCCTCTGAAAATCAGTGAAGAAACCACTGTGTTAAACATCACAATGTCCCCTCCACCCTGACTCCCCCTCTGAAAATCAGTGAACAAACCGCTGTGTTAAACCATCACAATCTCCATCCCCCCTGACTCCCCCTCTGAAAATCAGTGAACAAACCGCTGTGTTAAACCATCACAATGTCCCCTTCCCCCTGACTCCACCTCTGAAAATCAGTGAAGAAACCGCTGCGTTAAACCATCACAATCTCCATCCCCCCCCCCAACAATCTCCCCTGACTCCCCTCTGAAAATCAGTGAACAAACCGCTGTGTTAAACAAACCATCACAATGTCCCCTCCACCCTGACTCCCCCTCTGAAAATCAGTGAACAAACCGCTGCGTTAAACCATCACAATGTCCCCTCTCCCCTGACTCCCCCTCTGAAAATCAGTGAACAAACCGCTGCGTTAAACCATCACAATGTCCCCTCTCCCCCGACTCCCCCTCTGAAAATCAGTGAACAAACCGCTGCGTTAAACCATCACAATCTCCATCCCCCCTGACTCCACCTCTGAAAATCAGTGAACAAACCGCTGTGTTAAACCATCACAATCTCCATCCCCCCTGACTCCCCCTCTGAAAATCAGTGAACAAACCGCTGTGTTAAACCATCACAATGTCCCCTCCACCCTGACTCCCCCCTCTGAAAATCAGTGAACAAACCGCTGTGTTAAACCATCACAATGTCCCTTCCCCCCTGACTCCCCCCTCTGAAAATCAGTGAACAAACCGCTGTGTTAAACCATCACAATGTCCCCTCCCCCCTGACTTCCCCCTCTGATAATCAGTGAAGAAACCGCTGCGTTAACAATCACAATGTCCCCTCCCCCCTGACTCCCCCTCTGAAAAATCCGTGAAGAAACAGCTGTGTTAAACCATCACAATGTCCTCTCCCCCTGACTCCCCCTCTGAAAATCCGTGAAGAAACCGCTGCGTTAAACAATCACAATGTCCACCCCCCCCCCCCCAACAATCTCCCCTGACTCCCCCTCTGAAAATCCGTGAAGAAACTGCTGTGTTAAACCATCACAATGTCCCCTCCACCCTGACTCCCCCTCTGAAAATCAGTGAACAAACCGCTGTGTTAAACCATCACAATGTCCCCTCCACCCTGACTCCCCCTCTGAAAATCAGTGAAGAAACCGCTGCGTTAAACAATCACAATGTCCACCCCCCCCCCCCCCAACAATCTCCCCTGACTCCCCCTCTGAAAAACAGTGAACAAACCGCTGCGTTAAACCATCACAATCTCCATCCCCCCCCCCCCCCCCCAACAATCTCCCCTGACTCCCCCTCTGAAAATCAGTGAAGAAACCGCTGCGTTAAACCATCACAATGTCCCCTCCACCCTGACTCCCCCTCTGAAAATCAGTGAACAAACCGCTGTGTTAAACCATCACAATGTCCCCTCCCTCCCCCCCCTACTCTCTCCCACCCCCCCCCCCCCCCCAGGCTACGAGAAGTCGCGGAGCCTGAACAACATCGCGGGCTGCTCCTCATCTCGACTCTCGCCGGTCTCTTCCCCCTTCTCCTCGCCGTGCCCCCTGCGCCGCTCCCGCTCCCCCATCCCGGCCATCCTGTGAGCCGCCAACGGGGAGGACGCGAGGGGGCCTGGGGGAGAGTACACGGACACCCCCCCCCCCCCCCCCCCCCTGGGAGAGAGTACACACACACACAACACGGGGTAGAGAGTACACGGGACTCCCTGGTAGAGAGTACACACACACACAGCACGGGGTAGAGAGTACACGGGACTCCCTGGTAGAGAGTACACACACATACAGCACGGGGTAGAGAGTACACGGACTCCCTGGGAGAGAGTACACACACACAACACGGGGTAGAGAGTACACGGGACTCCCTGGTAGAGAGTACACACACAGCACGGGGTAGAGAGTACACGGACTCCCTGGTAGAGAGTACACACACACAGCACGGGGTAGAGAGTACATGGATTCCCTGGTAGAGAGTACACACACAGCATGGGGTAGAGAGTACACGGACTCCCTGGTAGAGAGTACACACACACAACACGGGGTAGAGAGTACACACACAGCACGGGGTAGAGAGTACACACACAACACGGGGCAGAGAGTACACACCCCCCCTGATAGAGAGTACACACACACACAACACGGGGTAGAGAGTACACGGACTACCTGGGAGAGAGTACACACACACAACACGGGGTAGAGAGTACACGGACTCCCTGGGAGAGAGTACACACACACAACACGGGGTAGAGAGTACATGGACTCCCTGGTAGAGAGTACACACACACAACACGGGGTAGAGAGTACACGGACTCCCTGGTAGAGAGTACACACACACACACAACACGGGGTAGAGAGTACACACCCCCCTGGTAGAGAGTACACACACACACAACACGGGGTAGAGAGTACACGGACTCCCTGGGAGAGAGTACACACACACAACACGGGGTAGAGAGTACACACCCCCCTGGTAGAGAGTACACACACAACACGGGGTAGAGAGTACACACACAACACGGGGTAGAGAGTACACACACAACACGGGGTAGAGAGTACACACACAAACAACACAGGGTAGAGAGTACACGGACTCCCTGGGAGAGAGTACACATACACAACACGGGGTAGAGAGTACACACCTCCCCTGATAGAGAGTACACACACAACACGGGGTAGAGAGTACACACACAACACGGGGTAGAGAGTACACACACACACAACACGGGGTAGAGAGTACACACCCCCCTGGTAGAGAGTACACACACACACAACACGGGGTAGAGAGTACACACCCCCCTGGTAGAGAGTACACACACACAACACGGGGTAGAGAGTACACACCCCCCCTGGTAGAGAGTACACACACACACACAACACGGGGTAGAGAGTACACACCCCCTGGTAGAGAATACACACACACACACACCACGGGGTAGAGAGTACACACCCTCCTGGTAGAGAGTACACACACACACAGCACGGGGTAGAGAGTACACACCCCCCTGGTAGAGAGTACACACACACACAACACGGGGTAGAGAGTACACACCCCCCCCCCTGGTAGAGAGTACACACACACACACACAACACGGGGTAGAGAGTACACACCCCCTGGTAGAGAGTACACACACACACACACCACGGGGTAGAGAGTACACACACAACACGGGGTAGAGAGTACACACCCCCTGGTAGAGAGTACACACACACCCCTGGTAGAGAGTACACACACACACACACACCCCTGGTAGAGAGTACACACACACACACCCCTGGTAGAGAGTACACACACACAACACGGGGTAGAGAGTAGACACACACAACACGGGGTAGATAGTACACACACACAACACGGGGTAGAGAGTACACACCCCCTGGTAGAGAGTACACACACACACACACACCCCTGGTAGAGAGTACACACACACCCCTGGTAGAGAGTACACACACACCACGGGGTAGAGAGTACACACACAACACGGGGTAGAGAGTACACACCCCCTGGTAGAGAGTACACACACACACCCCCCTGGTAGAGAGTACACACACACACCCCCCTGGTAGAGAGTACACGCATTGGGGTGCTGGAGTTGAAAGTAAAGACGTACCTCTTTCAGCGGTATGCCTCTTATAACGCCTTTACAACGCTCTTTTGGAAGCTAGTGGGGGGCGTGCCTCTGCCCATATATGGCAGATAGGGGGAGGAGCGTGTCTCTGCCCATATATGGAAGATAATGGGGGGGGGGCATGCTTCTTCCCATATATGGAAGATAGTGGGGCGGGCCTCTGCCCATATATGGGAGATAGTGGGGGGGCGTGCCTCTTCCCATATATGGAAGATAGTGGGGCGGGACTCTGCCCATATATGGAAGATAGAGGGGCGTGCCTCTGTATCGGTTGCTGCTCACAGTCGATCCGACAGGCACGTCAGGGGGTCGATTCCACCGAGGGGTTTAATCGCCGCATCGATTCCACTGGCAGGCAATCCATGGATCGAGTCATCCCATTGGCTGGTGCTGAGCTTCCCGCAGAAACGTGCGTTTAGGATGAGCACGTAACTTATTGTATGATTTTCGTGTCGTTATCGTTAAAAGTGTATTTATTTATTTATAAAATATTTATAAGTTTATCACGTACACAGCATCATCACGAAGGCTGTTACCGACACCCCCAATGAAACGCTCATTTATCGTTTTGTAACACAACTCCATTGGGAACCGTGTTATAGTGACCTCCTATAGCGCTGTTTCGTATAGCGCTGTCTGTAACGCATCTCCATTGGGAACCGTGTTATAGTGACCTCTGATAGCGCTGTTTCCTATAGTGCTGTCAGTAACGCATCTCCATTGGGAACTGTGTTATAGTGACCTCTGATAGCGCTGTTTCCTATAGCGCTGTCTGTAACGCATCTCCATTGGGAACCGTGTTATAGTGACCTCCTATAGCGCTGTTTCCTATAGTGCTGTCAGTAACGCATCTCCATTGGGAACCGTGTTATAGTGACATCCTATAGCGCTGTTTCCTATAGCGCTGTCAGTAATGCATCTCCATTGGGAACCGTGTTATAGTGATCTCCTATAGCGCTGTTTCCTATAGCGCTGTCAGTAATGCATCTCCATTGGGAACCGTGTTATAGTGATCTCCTATAGAGCTGTTTCCTATAGCGCTGTCTGTAACGCATCTCCATTGGGAACCATGTTATAGTGACATCCTATAGCGCTGTTTCCTATAGCACGGGCTGTAACACAACTCCATTGGAATCATGTTATAGTGACCTCTGATAGTGCTGTTTCCTATAGCACTGTCTGTAACGCAACTCCATTGCGAACCGTGTTATAGTGATCTCCTATTTCGCTGTTTCCTATAGCACGGGCTGTAACACAACTCCATTGGAATCATGTTATAGTGACCTCTGATAGCGCTGTTTCCTATAGCGCTGTCAGTAACGCATCTCCATTGGGAACCGTGTTATAGTGATCTCCTATTTCGCTGTTTCCTATAGCGCTGTCTGTAACGCATCTCCATTGGGAACCGTGTTATAGTGACCTCCTATAGCGCTGTTTCCTATAGCGCTGTCTGTAAGGCATCTCCATTGGGAACCATGTTATAGTGACCTCCTATAGCGCTGTTTCCTATAGCACGGGCTGTAACACAACTCCATTGGAATCATGTTATAGTGACCTCTGATAGCGCTGTTTCCTATAGCACTGTCTGTAACGCAACTCCATTGCGAACCGTGTTATAGTGATCTCCTATTTCGCTGTTTCCTATAGCACGGGCTGTAACACAACTCCATTGGAATCATGTTAAAGTGATCTCTCATAGCGCTGTTTCCTATAGCGCTGTCTGTAACGCATCTCCATTGGGAACCGTGTTATAGTGATCTCCTATAGCGCTGTTTCCTATAGCGCGGGCTGTAATACAACTCCATTGGGACCCGTGTTATAGTGACCTCCTATAGCGCTGTTTACTATATCACGGGCTGTAACACAACTCCATTGGGACCATGTTATAGTGACCTCCTATAGCGCTGTTTCCCATAGCGCTGTCTGTAACACATCTCCATTGTTACCATGTTATAGTGACCTCCTATAGCGCTGTTTCCTATAGCACTGTCTGTAACACATCTCCATTGGGAACCGTGTTATAGTGACCTCCTATAGCGCTGTTTCCTATAGCGTTGTCTGTAACGCATCTCCATTGGGAACCGTGTTATAGTGATCTCCTATAGCGCTGTTTCCTATAGCACGGGCTGTAACACAACTCCATTGGGACCGTGTTATAGTGACCTCCTATTTCGCTGTTTCCTAAAGCGCTGTCTGTAACGCATCTCCATTGGGAACCGTGTTATAGTGATCTCCTATAGCGCTGTTTCCTATAGCGCTGTCTGTAACGCACCTCCTTTGGGAACCGTGTTATAGTGATCTCCTATAGCGCTGTTTCCTATAGCGCTGTCTGTAACACATCTCCATTGTTACCATGTTATAGTGATCTCCTATAGCGCTGTTTCCTATAGCGCTGTCTGTAACGCATCTCCATTGGGAACCATGTTATAGTGACCTCCTATAGCGCCGTTTCGCACAGCGCTACGTTTGCAACAGAGCGCATCCTGGAGTGCTATTGGAGGTATGCCTGTACACGGGAAAGCGGAGAGTGCACGCCACGGGGATTAGGGAGTACACGGGCACACGGGGGGTACACGTGGCATGCACAGAGAGGGGTGGGTAGTACACGTGGGGAGTACACACAGCGCGCATGCCGTGTACATGCATAGTCCACACAGGGGTGCATGCGGTGAGTGCACGCAATACACACGGGGTGTACACATGGTGTACACACAGAGAAGTGGAGGACTGCACACACACACACACACATAGGAGAGTACACGCATGTACATGGTGTACACACAGACAAGTGGAGTACACACACATAGGAGTAGACACGCATGTACATGGTATACACACAGAGAAGTGGAGTGCACACACACATGAGAGTACACGCATGTACATGGTGTACACACAGACAAGTGGTGCACACACACACATAGAGTACACACATGTACATGGTGTACACACAGAGAAGTGGAGTACACACACATAGGAGTAGACACGCATGTACATGGTGTACACACAGACAAGTGGAGTACACACACACATAGAGTACACGCATGTACATGGTGTACACACAGACAAGTGGAGTGCACACACACATAGAGTACACGCATGTACATGGTGTACACACAGAGAAGTGGAGTACACACACATAGGAGTAGACACGCATGTACATGGTGTACACACAGACAAGTGGAGTACACACACACATAGAGTACACGCATGTACATGGTGTACACACAGACAAGTGGAGTGCACACACACACATAGGAGAGTACACGCATGTACATGGTATACACACAGACAAGTGGAGTGCACACACACATAGCAGAGTACACGCATGTACATGGTGTACACACAGAGAAGTGGAGTGCACACACACACACATAGAGTACACGCATGTACATGGTGTACACACAGAGAATTGGAGTACACACACACACACATAGAGTACACGCATGTACATGGTGTACACACAGAGAAGTGGAGTGCACACACACACACATAGGAGAGTACACGCATGTACATGGTGTACACACAGAGAAGTGGAGTGCACACACACACATAGAGTACACGCATGTACATGGTGTACACACAGACAAGTGGAGTGCACACACACATAGAGTACACGCATGTACATGGTGTACACACAGAGAATTGGAGTACACACACACACATAGAGTACACGCATGTACATGGTGTACACACAGACAAGTGGAGTGCACACACACATAGAGTACACGCATGTACATGGTGTACACACAGACAAGTGGAGTGCACACACACATAGGAGAGTACACACATGTACATGGTGTACACACAGACAAGTGGAGTACACACATGTACGCTCACACTCACGCGTACCGTTCGCTCCCCCCATCACAGCCGTGATGGAGAGTACGCAGGAGTGTCCGTACATCGGGGGATACACACATTGGAGTACACACACACATTGGAGTACACACACACACAGAGTACACACACACAGAGTACACACACAGAGTACACACACACACATAGTACACACACACACATAGTACACACACTTTGAGTACACACACTCTGAGTACACACACACACAGAGTACACACACAGAGTACACACACACAGAGTACACACACACACATTGGAGTACACACACACAGAGTACACACACACAGAGTACACACACAGAGTACACACACGTAGTACACACATAGTACACACACAGAGTACACACACACAGGAGTACACACACACAGACACAGAGTACACACACAGAGTACACACACAGAGTACACACACACACAGAGTACACACACACACAGTACACACACACAGAGTACACACACACAGAGTACACACACACAGAGTACACACGCACACACACAGAGTACACACACACATATAGTACACACTTTGAGTACACACACTCTAAGTACACACACACACATAGTACACACACATAGTACATACACACACTTTGAGTACATACACACACTTTGAGTACACACACACACATAGT